TGCTGCTCAGGCCTTTGTTTTAACTGAGTCTTGGCCATAGATAGAACTACAGTTATGGCAGTTATGGCTGCTGGTTTGTAGTCCAAACCAGCAGATTTGCCTTTCTCTGGATTCTGTTGCTATAGCGATTGGCCCTCAGCCAACTGCTGTGTGTGAGAGACAGAAAGCTGGGGAAGGATTTCAATCTTTGAGACACCCATGAAATGCTAATGCTAATGAACTGCCTTGCTGCGCAAGGCAGTTCACTATCCTGAGAAAAAAAACATAAAAAAAAGATTTTCATTTTTGCATCGCATACGGCGATGAACTTTTGTCAGTGCAATTTTCAGAGTTTTATGTTGAAACTTTCAGTAAACTTAATTTTCATAACCACACTAATCCAATATGTAACAGTGGTTTGGTTAATCCACCTGTATAATGCCAAAAACAGCAAGTTGTTTTAACTGCCAGCTCAGCCCTCCTCTGTAATAATTGAGTGTTCCGCCATGTTGTAGTTCTGACCTTCTGCTCAGCCCTCTGTATTAAAGTGTTCCACCTTATTTAGAACTACAGAGTCTTTGTAGTCCAAACCCCAGCAGTTCTCCCTATCTCTGTATTCTGTTGCTATAGTGATGAAAGTGCCCTGAGAATGATTTCTATCTTTATGAGACACCCAGTCAGTTTTAATGGAAAAAGCAGTCCGAACGACTGCTTCCCGTTCGGGTTCCGTAAGTCCGATCCAAAAACCGTTTGAAGCATATGAGAGGGCTATTTGTCGTCTCATTTAGTACCGTGATTCATATCTGTAGCTCATTCACAGTAATTGCAGTGATGAGAGAAAAATGTTGTGCGCTGAGCTCAGAGATTTTTCAGAAATGTATGTAAAACACTGGGAAGGAGCGTCAGTTATCCTGTCCCAAAACTTTGCTCTGAAGCACCTGGACCGAAAACCGTAAGCCCTAGGGAAAATTTGAAAACATTTTACCGGAGCAGGCATACGCATCAATGTCATGACCGACTTTCATACCAATAGAGCAATTTTTGCACGCATGAGAGCGATTTCAAAATTATTTTTCGGGTCAAAATTCCACTCTTTTACTCACTCTAAAAAAGCGTCAGTTGGTTTCAGTTACACTCTAAGCTTTGGCAGTTGGAAATTTTGCTCGTTTTTCGCTTTTTACGTCGCCATCGTAACACCGATCCCCAATAAAAATAGCTCCCTTCTCGGCATCGAGCAGCACGATTTGATACTTTTGTGGGTGGGCACGCAGCGGTACGAGCCGCATTAACGGTAATGGAAGAAAAAGATATAAAGAGACATTCTATTGGGTGTAGAATAGGTGCCTGCCATGCAATGCATGGAGGCAGTGACTGACCTGCTTCGCAGGTCAGTCACTGCTCTCCTTATGCATTGCTAATGGCATGCCCCACTTAAATATATTCCTAAAATTATACTTTGGATAATCTTTTTAAAAATACACTTTGCATGCATTTGTAAAAATATATATACAAATAATGCTTTTCTAAAGTTGTACTTTTGGTAATATTTTCAAATAGGTTCTGTGTATAGTTAAATCTCAAAATGAATATGTTGTGGTGT